GGTTGTTGGTAGGGTGTCAGTGGGTTGTTGGTAGGGTGTCAGTGGGTTGTTGGTAGGGTGTCATTGGGTTTTTGGTAACTAGTGTGTCAGTTGGTAGGTTGTGGGTTAAAGTATAATCAAGTATAGTTTGTGTTTCTATACTTTATATATTACAGCAATAAAGTCCAGCCTATAAACAAGCCTGAAAAGCATACATCTTTGAGAATTGACAATCTTGCTCTACTGTATGTCAGACTTACCTCAAACTTAGTCTTCCTTTTCCATCCAAGAATTTTCTCCGCTTTGACTGCAGAACCAAGCAGAAGTTCCTATTTTTTTGAAAAAGTGAAATATAGATTACATTGCAGTTTATTTTCCTGCCCAGATGACTTCAAATGCAGCACACTGTCTGCCACTTTAGCATCAGGTGGTAAAGGGAATAAAAAATACAACAGTAAATTTCTGATTCAGGAAGCCAAAAACCTGTGGTATCTATCTGGGTAGCACCACAAAAACACTCTAGCTAATTGATGCAAAAGGATTATTGCAGATATGTATAACRTATACAGATTGTAATAATAATGAGAATCAGATTAAGGGTTCCACTTACTACTTCAGCAGGTCTGTAGTATTTAGGATCAACACGAACCAGAACTTTCCCAGTCTTTTTGTCCTTGCCGATCTCAGTATCGCCTTCGCCCTCCCACCTTGTGATAAAAAAGATATGAAAAAACTTTCACTGTAATGCTAACAAAAATGGAAGCGCAACCAGAAAAATCTTCATTTTTTTGGGGGGGTGGGGGAAGAGGTGGAAAGGAGTAGGAAGATTTGCCCAGTGTCCTTTGCTAAAGTTCTAGCATCCTTCCCATGAGAACAGTGACACAAATAAACTACTTCAATGATACGGCAGCCATCTTGTCTGGGGGCAACACAAAACAAAGATGATGGAAAATATATAGAGTTTCGTGTGTTTGTCTTTCTTTTATGGGTAAAGGTCATCGATGTGCTGTCTCAATTCATCTTTTGTTGTATTCTCTTGTGGTGAGCTGTTGATATCAATCGACATCATTACTGTAACAAAGCTTTATTTGCCCCCTGGACTCCCCATAATGCATTGTGATCCAAAATGTTCGCCATATTGTCAAAGTAGTCCATTAGAACTCCACTTTGAGCTATGCATATATACAGTACATGTGTCTAGAATGCTTACTCTATTTCTACACCAACGTGGTGAAAGGACTTCTCTACAAATTCCCGTACACTGTGCATTTCTCCTGTTGCAATCACAAAATCATCAGGTTTATCCTGTTGCAACATCATCCACATTGCCTAGGATGAACAGGACAATAACAAAAAGAACGTCATTAGAGTATTGTAGAAAAAATTGGAAAAATTCAGATTATTTCTTAATTCTTAATATCTACTAGCTATGGGGCTCTAAACAATTCCAGACGAAGTTTTCCAAGACAAAGAAAGGGTGACATTTCTTAGTTAATAAAGATCCCTATCTCTTTTGGTTAGTCGCCGATCATGATGACCAGCCAAAATTAGCTTTAAGCTCAGTGATACCCCGTTTCTGGCTCAATGTTACTGGTCAAATGACCAGCAAGGCAAAGATTTGACTGGACAAGTTCAAATTCTGGCGAAACAATGCCCAATGGCCGGCTGTTATTCTTGGCCCTAGAGAATGATCTGATTGCTTGTCATAATGTTAGAAGTAGGAAGATAGGAATGAAACTCAATGATGAGAAAAAGAAAAAGTGGAAAATTTGTTAAACATACCTCTACATAGTCTCGAGCATGTCCCCAATCTCTCTTGGCATCTAAATTTCCTAATCTCAACTGTAGGATAGCATGAATAAATACTTCTTAAATCTTCCATGATGGGTTACATACATTTTGTTTGATTTTCCTTATCAACATCATCAACATCATCGCCATCATTTTTTACGAATATCATTAAATTCCATCATTATCCAGTTCACTCATTAATAACATTCCTTTGAATCATTTGCTCAATAATTATTGTCACCCACACATCATACTCACATCTTTTTGAAGTCCTAGATGTATCTTGGCCACAGCACGAGTAATTTTACGTGTGACAAATGTTTCACCTGTTGGAAGATAGTTTAAAAATACAAAAAGTTAGATTCAAAACAGACACATAACATACCATCACTAAAATCATCTAAGGTAGGGAGCTTTGGTGGCACAATGTTAGCACTCCTGGTTTTGGTCCTGGGGGGTACTCTTGCCCGTTTAGGGTAGGCATGTGCCGCTGAGCACCCTGAACCCTGACCCTGTTCCAGAGTAAAATTGCTGAAATTCATACCCTGTTCCAGAGCAAGATCGCTGAAAATCATAACCTGTTCCAGTGTTGCGAAAATGGATACCCTGTTCCAGAGAGGAGAGAGCGTGATTTCATATACTCTGTCAAAAACCTGGCTCTTTACATTGTGGACTGTGAATCCCTTGTGGCTCGGATGATTACTTTACTCCAATAAAAAAGGGGTCATAAAAGAACCACTGAGAATGCAACAAAACCCTGGCCGTGACCACTCTCAGTGCCGGCGATTGAGACCAGCTTGCAGTATAGTACCAAACCTACTGGTGAATGAGGCTACACAAAAAGTGCATCACAACCAGTAACCAGTAAGTATAGTACCGAACCTACTGGTGAATGAGGACACACAAAAAGTGCATTACAACCAGTAAGCCCGGCCAACAGCATGGAATAGGTGAGTGCTGGAAATGCAGAAAGCGGAAAGCAGGGGAAAGCTTAAGTCACTCTTTCTTTTCATTTCTTTGAAATATTTTACTTAAAATCTATGGCAGTTATTGTAGGTGTCTGTACTTTGTATCCATTTTACACTGTATTTAACTGTTAGTGTTACTTGTATGGCTTAAAACATGGAAAACATACCCCTCCTTGGACTTTCATGATTGAACAGAATTCCATTACAGCAAAACATGTCATAAGCTTCACGATAGTTGACCACAATCCAGTAGGCATAGAGTTTGGCAGCACCTAAACAAGAAACAGACTCTTGGTTTGAGTGGGTTTGGTAGGGAGGTATGGTGGGGCAAAGCAAATTGGTGTGAGGTAAGGTGGTGCGGTGTGGGGTGCGATGGGGTGAAGTTAAGGTGGGGTGGTTTGGGGTGAAATGGAATAAATACACAAAGTATTTAGTTAGACTATTATTATTAATGTTTTGAGCATTTCAGACCATGTGTCATTCCCTAGAGTAACATTTCTTTGTTTAATGGTTTGGCATGAGAAGAAACATGAATAATGACACAAATCAAATGAAGAATCGTAATCTGAAGAGAATGACACATGGTCTGAAATAGGAAAACATAACGGCCAAGGTAAAGAGGTCTATTAGCTACTTCTACCATACCATATGGAGATCTTGGATGAAATGGAGTTGTTTCTGTTTGAGGGATTTCTTTAACCTTTCCATACAGTTCACTTGTAGATGCCTGAAACAGAAATCATAGAGCTTAGTGAGCTGAATCTAAGGTACTACCTTTCTCCTTGCTATTGAAACAAGAACTTATGCAAGATTACTGAACAATGTTGCATGCATTCGAACAACATGCCAAATGAACTAAACTTGTGCAACCAATATACATATCTCCATGGTGATTGTTGGCAAGCTCATTGAAATTGCTAAGCTTAGTGGATACATTTTTGTCCTACAATCCATTGAAAACATCAAAGATTAGAATTAATATATCATATGTTTGATTACAACCACAAACCAGCTCAAGGTTTCAAGGTATTGTTTAACTATTCGCACAAGCCATTGGTCAGGTTTATTGTTAACGTGACCACAGGGAGCCCAATTTAGAGAAAAATGTTAGTCAAAATACAATATAGGAAAACTAAGTTGCAACAAATTAAAAACATATTAACCACAAAACATGATGTAAACTAAATATAATTACCTGGTAAAATTTGACAGACTTTTCCAATCCACAAGTTTTGATGGCATCCAGAAGACGTAGAGTACCAACGGCATCAACATCAGCAGTGTATTCAGCTAATTCAAAGGATACCTACAAATTATCATAAAAGTGCTGGTTTTTTAATCAAAATTCTCTCAAGAATTGAAATTTCAAAAATGAAAATATTTCTTTTTTTATACATTTTAACCAAGATAAAAAAAAGAAGCCAATATTTCTAAAGTAATAGGATGTTGTCTGGGTAATTTAAGGGGGCAGCAGTCAGCAATGTTTCCAAGCAACACATAGGTGGGCTATCAAACAAGGGGGGGGGGGGGGGCAATACAACCCATATTTTGCAATTCTTGGGAAGGGCTAACCAAAGTGATCATTTTAAGGGGGTTTAACAAGTTTTGTTACTAGGTTACCACTGTTGCTAGGGGCATTTTATGTGTTCCATTTTTGGACCCTGTTTWGCATTTTTCCATTGTTCAAAGATCAAGAAAGAAGAAAGAAGAATACACAGAAAAATAAACAAGACTACTACAAGAGAAAGATCTTACTCTACATATTCTACATTCTTATTTTTCTAGAAAGGAAAGAAAACAAAAAAGATGGAAGCTGTCATTACCTTAACATGACTTTGTGCTCCAAGGTTATATATTTCATCAGGCTGAACCTAAGACAACATCAAACGGCACAAAGAACATGAAATGGTGTTTAAATACTCAAGATTGCGTATTAAACACAAGATTTTTTAAAATGTAAAACGTTTGGGTTAGTGTCCAAAAAATGTATTTGCCACTTTTTTTTATTATATGAGCTCAATAGTTTTTTATTTCATATTGTGCAGTTCCAGAAACTATCTATATCCCCCCCCCCCCTCATGAAAGAATGTTTTAAAAGACCCCCCTAACCCAGAAATTCAAATTTTCTTCCACATACAAATTTTGTAATTTGGTTCTTTTTCTGAACCCCCCTACCCCTCGAAAATTCCAAATTCCTCTGTGGGGGGGGGGGTATGGATAATTTTTGGAACTACTTATTTTATAAAGGATTTGTGAGGGAAAATATACTAACAATATGTACACATCTCGCAGGGCCTTCCCATGATAGTGAAGCTTTAATAACATGATCCTTTTATTAGAGCCTTGTGAGCTACCCATTGGAATTTTAATTTTTCACTGAAACCAGTCAAGATGTAAAAGGTGCCGTTTGATTAATGTTAGCTGAAGGCAACAAAAAACAAATTTCAGCATGCACCTTTGCATAATATTGAAAGCTGCTATAATCCTTTTTATCCTTCTAACAGCATTATTTCTCCATGGTTGCTAAATAACAGAAATCTGGTCTTTTGATCAACTCTCGTCAAATGAACTAAAACCTAATATTCACTTAATTTATTATTTTCAATCACTCACTCAATAATTCCTTCATCCATTCTCTATCTATTCATCAGTCCATCTGTCTAATCATTAGGCCCCTTGTTCATTATAAAAACATGGTAGGACTATACTAAATTGCATGCATTAATCTCACCTGTGAAACAATCTTCACTAGATTTGTGCTGTCTGTAAGATCTCCATAATGGGTTTTCATAGCTGTGATGAAAATAATTCAAATATGATAAGATAACCTCTATTAAAGGATCTCTTCCTGATTTCAAAGCTCTTTTAAGATAAATAAGAATGGCCCCTTCTGTTCTTTTTGATATCTCTTTTCGTTGCCGAGATATTCAATATAGAATTCACGAAATAATGACGTCAACCCAGGATCCTCGTAAAAAGTCAAATCATCAAATAGAGAATATCTTTGTGAGAATTAGCTCAAAATGACTGAAACTTTTGATGGACATGTGCACTATAACCACCAAAAGTTTCATGGTGAATCATGAGAAAAGATCATGGATATACTTGCAAAGCCACTTTTCATTTGGCTGTGAATTTCAAATTGCTTTTTTATGGAATTTACAAGCATAAGAGATGGTTAGTATGAGATGTAGGCACTGAGGGTTAAGGGTGGTTATTGCCAGGGTTTCTTTATTAGTGGTTCTTATATGTCCCACCCATATTGGTTAATAATGATAGAGTTTGGAGAGACAGGACCACCATTTAAAGTGTTCATCCGAGCCACTTGAAAGTTTAACCATTTGTAGATATATAATAATTATGAAGGTAGCGCTTTCTCCTCAGTTATTTTAAGACCCTGAGTGTTGGTTCRGCCAGGACTTGAACAACAACCTCCAGCACAAAAGTCAGATGCTCAATCAACTAAGCAAACTAGCTTGCGGTTTAAGAATAATACTTACCTCCTCCCATGTGAGAATGTTTATCTGCATACAAATGTTCTATTCTTCCTGTGTTGAAGGAACTAGAACGTCTTATAATCCCATGCACCTAAAAACCAATATGACTTCAATTATAGTTATTACGATATTATGAAGATTTTCAGTCTTAGATTCACAGGACCAAAGTTCATCCAAAACTAGTCATAAGAGTACTAAAATGTGTACATTATAAGTAAGAGTTGGTCATACCTCATAACCTTTGTTTAATAAAAATTCAGCAAGATATGAACCATCCTGTAGACAAATAATGTAGCAAAGGCATTTAGTTACAAGATAACATGAAGAAAGAGCTTTTTTAACATGACAGAGAGGGACGTACCAATATATATATAATGTGTAGTTCCAGAAATTATCCAAACCCCCCCCTCCCCCCACAGAGGAATTTGGAATTTCCGAGGGGGGGTTGAGTTGTCAAATACTGTAAATTTGCACATCAGTCATACAATATCTTACATTGCCTATTGACTCAATTTTCACAATCATTTCCTCAGTTGTTTCCACTTTCTTGCGGCTTAAGATTCTTCCTTATAAAATTATATGTTCTTCATCCTTACCAGCGCCATTTTGAATATGATCTCATTGGACCGCCGCTGACATGTCACCACCTCTTACAGCTGACTTAAAACTTCCTATAGCATTTCTGAAGTGACCGAACAAATGCCAAGTATTCAAAATACACCTCTTCGGAAATACCGACATTTTTCAGTACTTGTATTTTCTCTTTCCGCTAAGAAACAAACAAGTCCTACTTTGATAAAGTTACCAAATGAGTACCAGCGTGTCGTTTTTATCCTAATTATTTAAAATCACCCTTTTCACACTTCATCAAATAGAGCTAAGCCATATCCATGATATAAGTTAGATTTTACAAAAATATAACAATAACATATTTACAGTATAAAATATTTATGCTTATTTGTGGGCTTTTTGCGCGCATAATTTTAAGACAACAATAACGTTAAAACAGATCATTGAGATCCAGAACATGAGCAGCTTCAGCCTAGCTAAGGATTGAGGCCCCCGTGGCAATGTGTCAGTGATTTGAATCCACAGACATTGGCAGGAGATTTATTTAACTTTGAAAACTCACTTTACAAAATGTGTAAGAAGCTAGTGTCACCAACACAACTTAAAATCCATCATCAAAATAAATTTAATAACACAATGTTTTTAGGAATAAAAATAGATAAAAAAGTCTAACGCAGCCTGTTCTAGCAACTTCAATTTACTTTTAAAATCTTTGAAATATCGGAAAAACTGTTTAAGCTTTACATGATGTATTGTCTACTTTTCCATTTTGCTTGGCATAGAATATGAAATTTTTAAATAAGCCAACGTTCGTGACACTTCATACTAGTAACACTGACTGACAACTGCCGGCAAACTAATACGAAAATCCTCGACATTTGTAGTCCATCGAATCCAAAATATCCAAACTTTATTCTCATATGTTAAGCAAACCTGAAATACTCTGTTAGGATTCAATTTGTTGGATATTTGAATAATTTTTGTGACAAAGGATACTCATTATCTTATACTATTTTCCATATATACTACGGATTTCACCGAACTGTGGCGACCCCTGTACCACACCCTTATTCGTCTACTGATACACCTACTTTTATCACTGTCTCAGATCTAGCACATTGCCAGTAAGGTATTCACTGTAATACATTAAACAAAAGTAGGCATGTCAGTAGACGAATTAGGGTGTGGTAGTGAAATAAATTTTTGGCGTGTTGCCACAGTTTGGTGAGATCCATAGTATCATTCTTACCAGAAATGTAAAGAATCTTAGAATTATAATGAAATCTTGATACTGACCATGATAAACAATACAATACAATACAATACAATGCAATTTTATTTGGCACCTTATACTAATAGTACATGAGTGTTTGATTCCAAATATATTATAGGTATATATATATACTATGTATTAGGTAATTTTCTTAATTCATTTTCACGTATCAGCATACATTGATGAATGTATGCTGATATGGCTCTTTGTAGAGACGCTGATTTTGAATTGATTAAGAACATAAAACGACTGTCAGCGCTCATATTGTTGAAATTAATGCTGGTGTTTTTTTCTATGAACTCTCTTAAGTCGTTGAACATGAACGCACATGAATTGCATTTTCTCATCGCTTTTTGGGGCATTGTCAGTGTAACTGGAATTTACTAGGGGTGGGGGGGCATACCCTATCGATGTGGAAATTCCAGGGGGTAGGGGGTATCTTCAAATACCCCAAATATGGAATTTCTGGGGGTAGGGGGGGTCTTAAAAGAATTCCTCCGTGGGGGGGGGGGGGGTATGGATAATTTCTGGAACTACACAATGGGTAAATTTGTCTCGTTTTCAGAATAATTATGGGAATGAACTCAAAATATATGATTTATATACTTAAATTGTATGTAGTACAAATGTGTACAAAATTGCTACTTAATGAGCTAATGTTTAGTTAAAAGCTTTTTTCTATTAAAAGAAAATTTCTACCAGTTGACACTTTGGTTGCTACATGTGACCAACAGCACATAAGCTTAAATTACCATTGACACGTGTAAACTATCATAAAACTAAATAGCTTGCTGACAGACACGAGATGACATTATTTAGACAAGAATTAACATATTAATCCGCCTTTTTTCCTTTCTTAATAAATAGACGAAAAAATGATTCTCATCTAACTCAAGACAAAAAACATTCCCACTATAATTATCAAAACGATAAACTCAACCTAAACTCAAATCTTTATATCGAAATTTATAGGGAAACTTTACGGAGTAAGTTGAAACCTAACTTACTAAAAAACCTGGATTATTGTATAAAGATCTATAAAGCATTTGGATATAAATGCCTTAATTGATGATGCAGAATTAACTCTTGAGACTGCGAATGTTGGATACAATGAGAAAGCCCGGAGGGGATCGTCAACGAAACGAAACTTCATCGAAGCAAAAAGTGTCAAATAAACTTCAAATAAACTTCAACCTACCTGGCCAGTTATTCCAGTGATTAAAGCAACTTTCTTTTCTTTCTTCTGTGAGCTAGCCATTGATCTAATATAAGGTACAAGGTACAAATCAAATAATCAAGGGTATAATCAGGTTCTAAAAACTAAAGAAAAGACGGTAGAAGTTTGAATGAGGTGTTGTCGAGTTGGCAGCAGAAATGAACCAGGCGTTACTTGCCAACCCGAGTGGACACTGGGATATCATTTGAACATAAATTAATTTCTCGATTTTCGATTTTTTTTAATCCCCACCCCCCCTCCCCGTAGTTCAAAAGAATCGTAATTAGATATTTAGGAATAAATTCTTAGTTTTACTCGTGATTTTTAAAAAATATCTTAGGATCAAATTTTCAAATTTGATTATTTAAGAACTATTTCGGAAGCTCAAATCACTTGATTTAGATTTTCTACCCCAAAGAAGCTCAAATCCAATAAAAAATCTTGGAAATCCAGCTTTCCTTGACTGTTTATCAGAAAGCCCGCCAAAAGCCTTATCACTGGATCAATACAAAAGGACGAGTTTAGACAGGCCCCTTTGTTGGGTTTCCCCCAAGCCGGTGACGTCATACCCGACGCGTCGCGTTCAGCCGGGCAAGTCTAAACTCGACCATGACGAAGAGAATAGCCTTAAAATGAAACTCGAATATTTATCACTATCCAATCAGGGAGTGATCTGTGTGTTATACAGCCAATGAGGTAACAGGGGATAAGTGTCTCGAGCGATTACATTAAGTAAATCTCTATGTTTTGTGTTATTTTAAAAGTTAGCATCTCTCGTTCGTGCCTTTAATCAGTATGGCTTCATCAGCTGAATGCAATTTCACAGCTTCCTTTCTTCAAGACATAGGGCTGTCACAATTATATGAAAGCAGGTTTTTATCGCAAGGGTTCGAAAACTTCATAGATATGGTTTTAATTGACGGTAAAGACTTGGATATTTTAGATGTCACACAAGAGCACAAGGACAAAATACTAAAAGCCGGTAAGTTGGTAATGAAAATTTYCTGACTCTCTTTTGCTACACTTGAGTTCACTTATTTTGACCCCTTAAAAAATTGTTCCTTAGTCAAAATTACATGTAGTTATTTAGTAAGTTAAAAGTTAAAAGATCGCATTAATGTTAATCTACTCGCTGTAAACCAATAGTTATCGGGAATCCCTCATTAAAAAAATTACGGTCTCGGCTCTTGGGGAAATTCTAAAATTCAAAAACGAAAATAYTACATTGGGATTTTTTTCCCCTTTATACCATATCCGAGGGAATTTTATATGTCATCAGTACTGTATTAAAGACTTGCAAATGGTATCACATATTGACGAACTTTCCCGTAAGAATTAAACTTTCCAAACTACCGAATGAGACATATAAAAGTGCTTCTAAATGGGTTTTGTAATTGATATATTTGATTAGGAGCGTTGAATGGTGCTTGAGAGGGTTTTTTGGATCGTTTTCGCGTGGGTGTTTAGAAAGCACATTTTAAAGGGGAAATTTTTGGTTTAATTTATGGAAAAAACACACTCCCGTGATTTTTGTTTGAAGATTGTTTTCGTGATATCAGAGCGTAAAATAAATATTATCAGAATCTTAAATAGAAAGTGGGTTCAGAGAGTTTTCCATTTTAAAAGACTGACTTGAGCTGACACCTCGGAAAAACGACTCAGAAACGAACGTGGTTAAAAATGTAGTATTTTTKGGGGGAAATTACTCAACCCACCAATCTAATAGCTGTATTGTAGCATTTTCTTGGTTTTGCTTTTGTTTTCTGGTCACCCTGAARTCGTAATGTTTTCAAAAAATGTTTTTATATTGTTCAATGTTTAATATATATGGACCATGTGCTTTCATCGACCGCATGTCCAAGAATGTGACATCATATGTGATGAGCCTTTTCAGGCCAGCCATCGCGGATATAATCTTCGTGATTTCAGAAAAATTACTGAGTCGTCTCYTGATAAAGCACATGCTTAATTCTTTCCGAAACTGTAATTTTAGTGTGATAAAAAAAAACCTTTTTTCTAGTAGAAATGACTCGTCGCTTTTGGAAGCAAAATCCGCGCCATTCCGGTGTTTGGCAAAACTCATAACTGTAGCTCAAAAAGAATCTTTTGCRTCTTCAATGAGCTTTCATGCTCGGGATGGAAGGCTGGCCACTCTAGGAAGAAGCTGGAYAAATTTAGGAGTATTCGATTTTAAAAGGACTTCCCTAGATTTCTGTTTGGAGGGGCAAATAATGAACAGACTGTATATGACAATCTAAGCTGGGCTACTGAGTATCAATAAGCTCTGTGCTGGTGCTGCTGTGGTGTGATACAGTGTTGTGAGGTATAACTGGGTGGTGCTGTCAGTAGATCTAGGCCTASGCTTCATTTTCTTTACCCTGTGTTGTCACAAGTACTGTTTGCTGTCAGTGCTGTGTTGTGCTATGTACCAAGGTTTTGTGATTGGTGTCATTAATATAGTGTACTGTATGTATACATTGTTTTGTGATGAGTTGTGTACTATATGCTTTTTGTTTTGTGATGCTCCCTTGTGCTGTACTGTGATGCGAATTTTCGTTTTTTTTTTTACTGCTGTTTTGTGTACTTTATGGTGTGTACCATTTCCTATATCTACTATGTGCTTTTCTTTCTTTTTTTTACAATGACATGCTGTACACCATAACAGTACAGCACACAGCATCACAAAGCATAACCTTATACAGTACACAAAAAAGCACAACTCATCAAAAGATAATAACACAACAGTAAAGTACGTTGCATCACAAACATGACCTTACATACACACAACACAGCACAACTCATCAAAA